TTTCACTTCTTTAAAATTTTTCTTTCCAGATTCTGCTTATTTAGTGTGTGGGTGAGAGGGTTCTGTTTATGTGCGTGTGTAGAGGTCAGAGTACAGCTTGCTGGAGTTGGTTCTCTCCATTGTTAAGTCCTGGAGATTGAGCTCACTCATGTTGTCAGGCTTGGCAGGCAAGCCCTTTGCCTACTGAGAAGCCATCTTACCAGCCCAGAATTCAGATCTTTTGAGTATATACCTAGGAGTGAATTCCTGGATCAACTGGTAACTATGATTAGCATTTTGAGGGACTGCCAAACTGTTCTCTAGGCCAGGCTACACAATCTCACCTTGCCACCACAACCCATGAGGGCTCTCTCTGGTGTCTCCTTGTTCTTGCCAATACTTGTTACTGTCTTTCTCATTTTAACCATGCAAATGGGAGTGACATGGAATCTCATTGTGGTTTTGATGTGTGTTTCCCTAATGAATAATGATGTGGATGGAGATCTATTTGCCATGTATATGAGAAACATCTATTCACTAGCCCAGTTTTAAACATTTTATTGCAATGAGCGTGCACACACACACACCAGGAATAACATAAACCAGCTTTTGCTCTTTAGGTATCCAAAGCAAAAGCTATTCCAGTGTTGAAACTGGAACAGCTGTCTCCAGATCAGCCACTCATTGAAAACCCAGCACTCACTGGCGTGGTGTCGCATACCTTTGATCCCACCACTCAGGAAGCAGAGGCAGGCTGATCTCTGTGAGTGTGAGGGCTCTATCAGACAGAGAAACCCTGTCTCAAAAAACCAAAAAAGAAAACCCAGCATCAGTCAACTGTACAGTAGTATGTTTCCAATTTACTTTCAACTTACAGTGTGTTATCAGGACCCAATCCCATTGTAAGGGGGTAAGCAGCCGGGTTTATATGTTAGGCACTGTGTCCTGAGGCCTGATAGCCACAGGGAGTGAGGTTGGCCACTGAACAGGGGAAGAGCCACTTAAAACAAACATACAAACAAACAAACAAAACACTGTTACAGTAAATGGTATTATGCTTTTCCTGTTATTGATCCAATAAACATTTTTTTGTTTGTCGGTTTGGTTTGGTTTTTTTTTGAGACACAGGGTTCTCTGTGTAGCCCTGGCTGTCCTGGAACTTGCTATGTAGACCAGGCTGGCCTTGAACTCAGAGATCCACTTGCCTCTGCCTCCTGAGTGCTGGGATTGAAAGCATGCACCACTGCACCACCACAGCCTGGCTCCGATAAACAGCTTTGCGCAGGTGAGATTTGCCTCTTCTCCCTGGCAGTGAGGCCGGCAGAGCCTGGGGACTTCAGCGGCTGCACTTTTCCTGTTCTCTTGTACTTCCAAGATTAGGGCTATCTCCACCCGCGGTTTCTTTCGGAGAACTCTGAAGCCACTTGTTCACCCTTGGGGCTGATTCAACGACAGCTGTATAGGCTGAGCCTCACATCTACCCAGTTGGGCTCGTGTGCACTGCTTGCACCTCAGCCTGTGTTGTGGGGATCCCCACTGGCCTTGGGGACACTGCACATGGACACTTGTGCTCTGTTTAGCACAGGCCACGGGTGCACGCTAGGGTTGTACTATGTGCTGTTAACTGTTTTTCATTAAAAATACAATGGCAAGAAGACCCCATGTGGTGATATAACCTTTAATCCCAGCACTCGGGAGTCAAGTGTACCTAAGTTTGAGGCCAGCCTGCTCTACATACTGAGTTCCAAGACAGCCAGGGTTACACAGAAGGAGACAAGCAGATGTTTTGTTTCTGCTCTGGAGACATTTGCTTCAGGGAAAAACAGGTTCTGGGCTAAGGATATGGTCACTAACCGCTCACAAACTTGACTCCCCACTTGACTGTGCTCAGGGCTACCCCAAAGCAGTTGAGACAATTACTTCATGTACTGAGCAGGGTGGTTTGGCAGCCCGATGGACAGCCCCACCCAGGAGTGACCCCGCGCTGACCCTGGGTAGCAGCCTGAGCCTGTTCAGACTGTGTTCAGCCCCAGACTGAATCCCTTCTCCTCCAGCACTTCTACTGCCTAGGGGTCTCGGGACCCCACACCCTCTGGGTTTTGTTGGCCTCTCCAGGTCCTGTTCTGTGCAGAGCATGACCCCGAGGATGAAGGCTGGGGAGATGTGGATTGTCTTCCTCGCTGTAGACTCTGCTTCTGTTAGTAGGGCCTATGGCTATGTGCTCTTCCTGCGCTGTTGGCCTACATTGTCACTTCAGCATGCAGTGGTTGTGCATCTCCTATGGGTTTTGCCTGTGTGGCCTATACCGCCACTTGTACGTCATGCTAGATGCTTGCCTTTCAAGTAATCTTTTTAAAAATCTTAGATCTTCAGGAGTTCTTAGAAGCCTGTGCTCAAACAAGATCTAAGCCTGGGGTAGTGGGACACACCGGGAATTCCCAGCACCTGGAAGGCTGAGAGAGGAAGGTTATTAATCGGAGGCCAGCCTGGGCTACATGGCAAGACCTCGTCTCAGAAGAAAACAGAAACATTCCTGAGATGCTTAATCGGGACTATTAACTTGGCAGGCTTTAGAATCATCATGGAAACACACCCCTGAAGATGTTTCCAGAAAGGTTTAACTGAGGAGAAAAGACCTACTCTGAATGTGTGTGGGCTGGGGTCCTAGATGGGCTTGGGTCCTAGATTGAATTTAAAAAACGAAAGACAAAAACAAACAAACAAACAAACAAACAAACAAACAAAAAAACAAGCTGAGCGCCAAGGATGTGACCAGAAACCTCAGGCTCCTGAGTCTATGCCTTCCCATGCTGATGGAGTATATCAAACCATTAGCCGAAGAAACCCTTCCTTCCTTAGAAAACAAAACAAACAACGAAAGACAAACCCACCTTAGACCTGTCTGAGCAGTCTTCAAGATGGCTACCGTCCTTCCTCCACTTAGCTATAATCAGGGGTATCACCCTCGGTACTCCTCCTCATAGTCTTAGTTCAGCCTCCGTGCTATTCTCAGATCCCCTGTAGCTCCCCGGCCCTGGCAGTCTCCTTGGTTTTGCCATGGCCACAGGTCCATCTAGTCTGGGAAATTGGCTGGACAGTATAGGTTGTCGCCCCATCACGAAATCCCCTGGCCTGACTTGGGACAAAACAGTAGAAGAGGTAGAAACAGTGGTCATCCTTCTTTTTGCCTCTGAGCAGTTCTGTACCCGTCAGCTTTCCATCACTATAACAAAATACCTGAGATAAATTAGTTACATGGAGAAGGTTTGCCAGGCACGTGGGACTCATCACACAGGAGGCTGAGGCAGGAGGTGGCCAGCCTGGGCTACACAGCAACACCTTATCTCAAAAACAAAACAACAACGGTAACAACAAAAACAGACTGGGGTGTAGCTCGATAGGTAGGGTCCTTGCCTAAGCACACACGAGGACCCTGTTTGGTCTCCAGCACTGGAAAAATCTTGCCTGGTGATAACTGTAATCCCAGCACTGGAGAGGTGGAAGCAGGATGATTAGAAGTTCACGGTCATCTTCAGATATATATAATTGAGGGCAGCCTGAAGCAACAGTGGGGGGGGGGGGGAGTGAGAGTGATGTGGAGGGAGGGACGTTTTAGCACATTAGCAACTCACTTTGGGCCTTCTGTCCAGAGCTAAACAAGGCAGGAGCATGTGGAAGGGTGAGGCCAGAGAGACCAGGTTCCAAAGCCCCCTTCAAGGACATACCTTCTAGTAACCTAACTTCTTCTAGGCCCCTCCTACTGGGAAGCTAAGGAACGTTGCAGGCCTGCTTTTTAAAAGAAACAACACACTATTTTAGTTATACTTATTTATGTATTTGTGTGTATGTGTGTGCATGTGCATCTGCTCCTGAGGCACACATGTGGAGGTCAACTTGCGGGAGTCAGGCTTTGCAGCCTGACTTGCCCTTACCCACTGAGCCGTCTTGCCAACTTAAACTTTTCTTTTTCTTTTCTTTCTTTCTTTCTTTCTTCCTTTCTTTCTTTTTTCTTTTCTTTTCTTTTCTTTTTTTTTTGAGACAGGGCTTCTCTGTGTAGCCTTGGCTGTCCTAGACTCCCTTTGTAGACCAGGCTGGCCTCGAATTCACAGAGATCCACCTGCCTTTACTGCCTTGAGTGCTGGGATTATAGGCATGTACCACCACCACAACCGGCTTGTTTTGTTTTGTTTTCAGTTCTGTGTCTGCGCATGTGCACATCGGCTCAAGTGCCTGTGGAGACCAGAGGATAAACTCAGGTCTCATTCCTTGAGGTCTTGTTTGCTCTTTTAAATCCTTATCGTTGTTTTATTATGTATATGGCTGTCCTGCCAGCATGGCAGTGCCTAGTGCCCTCAGAGGCCAGAATCAGGCATTGGATCTCCTGGGACTGGAGTTTCAGATGGTTGTGAGTTGCCATAGGTACTGGGAATTGAACCCAGGTCCTCTGGAAGCCAGTGATCTTAACTGCTGAGCCATGTCACCAGCCACCCACCTTGTTGTCTGAGACAGGATCTTTCACTGGTACTGGGGTTCAAAGATTCAGCAAGGCTGGCTGGCCATTGGGCCCTAGGGATCTGCCTGTCCCTGCTTTTCCTGCCCTGAGATTCCAAGTGTGTGTCATAGGCCTGACTGTTTGCACAGATTCTGGGCATTGAACTCAGATCTTCATGCTTACCAGGTGAGCACTTTGCTGCCTGAGCCTTCTCCTCAGCTCTTAAGTTCAGAGCTGATTTACATGAAGCACTTTCTATGCGTGGGAAACAAACACATGGTTCAAAGCAGCCCTTGCGACATAAGGGCATTAACCATCTCACACAGGGGGAACAGGCTTGCAAAAGTCAAAGGGCAGAGTAGGAGTGAGTGTGTGGCAAACCTCCCCTCACCCCCGCCAGAATGACCTAATCCAGACCCTGAAGCCACCACTGGGCTCCCTGTTCCTGTTTGTATAGGAGGAGAGGGACACAATGGCAAGTGACATGTCCACTGGCTCAGAGATGGTAGTAGCCTCAGGACTCTCCAGGGCTAGGCTCATGGGCTGCTGACTCAGTTCCCTCTGCAGCTCTTGCCCAGCAGCCCTGCTCTGAGGCAGGCTCTGATGGGACCTGCACACTGCACTGGTCACACCTTCGATGCTGCTGCTGGTGAGTCTGTGTCCTGGGGCCACATGGGTTATGTTTGATTCAGTGTACCCAGGCAGTTCTGACTGATGGGTCTAAGAGGTGGACGCTGTCCACAGTGGGCGGTGACTGTGCTCTGTCCTGGATTCCAGGGGGAGAACTGGACCCCGAGGTCATCAGAGTTGTGTGGAAAGCACTGGACTGCATCCTGGGACAAGAACTGGGCTCTTGCATAGTCTAGGAGAGAGACGGGATGAAGTCAAGTGAAGGAGGGTTCTCTCCTGCAGACCTCAGAGCCTTCAGTATGCATATTGCACAAGCAGCAAGATTCACATAATCAGGAGGATCTCCCTGCTTTTGGAGCATGCCCGCTGTCCTCACAAGAGTGTAAAAGGCTGCTCTAGTTTCTCTGACAGGTCCCATCATGCCTGAGTTCCAAGGTCCCTGTGATTGGACAGGTTAACCTTCAAAGCTTAATCTAGAAGGGAGTGCTCTTGTCCTAGAATGTCAGAGCTGGATGTTCACCCCAGCTCTGGGGAAACTGAGGTCCAAAGCAATCCATGAAGAATGCTCAAGAGACTGAACCAGGTTCTAGGTGGTATGATCTTGTAAAGTCTATTTTATTTTCCTGCATTCCTGTGTTGGCATACTTTTTAAAAACTCTTTTATTTACATTGCTTATATATCTTTCTCCCTTCTCCACCTCAATCCATTCCAACACCCCAACACAAGGTAGGAGAAAGCAAGAGTTAGTGGGAGAGGGGGGCCCTGTTCTCTTAGCTTCTTCCTGCTGGTTAGGGTCATCAAGTTCCTTGGAGTCTGTCTAAGCCTCATTTCAGGGGATCTCCACCTTCTTGTCTCACTGCAACAGCAATCCGGAGCTGCAGCAGAGAAGCAGCAGCAGCCTTCTCTTTCTCAGAGCTCCCCAACGCTCTCTGGGCTCTGGCATTTATTCTCTCTCCACAGTCCTCAGATTTAAACTATCTGCAGCTGGCAAAGGGCTCCTCTCAGAGCCCACATAGTTTGCTGCTGTGGACCATCTGAATCAGTCCCACATCCCACACCTGGGATTAAAACAAAAACATGTTTATATCCACAACATTTCTGGCCTGCGCTTCCTACAGTCCTTGACAGCTCCAAGGCACTCGAGCCTTTGCATCCTAGTGAGTACTGGAGGCATTGGAGGCTGTGGGACGCTACAGATAGGCCCTGGTCCCAGAAAAAAAAAAAAAAGATTGGAGGATTGGGACGTTCATCCAGGGATTGGGGGAGCCACTAAAGGTCACCAAGGCCAGTCACACGCACATGATGAAGCCTTGTGGTAAAAACCCACAAGGACGTGGTGACACATTCCGGGATACCTGTGAGCTTTTACCTGTGAACACAAAGACCTCTGCCCCTCGTAACAGTTGAGGAAACAAGCCAGGGCCGGGCTTCCTTTGTTTCTGTTTTGTTTCTATTGCTGTTCATGGAGATAGATTCTCATGTAGTTTAGGCTGGCCTTCAGCTCTCTGTGTAGTCAAAGATGACCTTAAATTCTAGAATCTCCTGCTTTCATCTCCTTGGGGCTGGGATTACAGGCTTGTGCTGCCATGACCATTTTATCTAATGCTGGAGGTGAACACAGGGTCTTTTGCATACTGAGTGAAAACTCTACCAACTGAGCCACAGCCCCTGCCCTGCTTTTTCTTTCTTTTCTCTTCCTTCCTTTCTTTCTTCCTCCTCCTTCTCTCTCTCTTTTTTGAGACAGTGTCTCACCATGTAGGCCTGGCTGTCCTGACACTTCCCATGTAGAGCAGGCTGGCCTCAAACTCACATATATCTATCTGCTTCAGCCTCCTGAGTACTCGACTAAAGGCGTGTACCACCAATGGCCAGGGCAGGTCCTCAGGGTTTGATCAAGTCCTGTTAGATCTTTCCCCAACACTGTTGCTTCGAGGTGAAGTTTCCCAATGAACCTCTGCCAGCACGTTCAGACCACAGCTATGGCGTCATACAGGTTTCTTTATTTCCTGGCCTTAGTTTCCTGCTCTGTGAGATAGAATACTCTGAACTTTCCTCCTGAGTGGTAGGACAGTGGCGGGGAAAGAGCGATAAAGTGTGAGGCTAGGAGGGTTTGCTGTAGTCATTGGCACCCCCAGTGGGCCTTAGTGAGCCTGTGACAGCTCCAGCTGGAGAGGAAATCCACCTTGAGCACACAGGTGCCCTGGTGAGCTTGGAAGTGAGGGATGAGAACATTAAAAGAGGAAGGGCTGGAGCGATGGCTCAGATGCTGAAAGCACTTGTTGCTCTTGCGGAAGACCTGGGTTAGGTTCCCAGCACCCACATGGTGGCTCACAACCCCTGCAACTAATTCCAGGGATCCAGCCCCGACCTACCTCTGTGATGGTTTCATCTGCCCCTCCTGATAGGTCAGCTGCTCCAACCTCTCCAGGAAAGCTGGCTGTAGTGTAGAGTGCATCTGCAATCCCAACAGGGCCGGAGGCTTTAGCTCAGGGCTAAGACCAGCCTGGGTAACCCAGCAAGACGCTGTCTTTGGAAACAAATGAAAATGAAGAAGCACTGGGCAAGAAGTGCCCAAGAGTGAGACCCGCCGTTTCCTTTAGGGTCAGCCTCGGAGAAGGGGTCACCTCAGGAACTGGGGCCTTTAACCAGGGACAGCTGGTGATTGGAGGTGGGTTTCTCTGTAGGGCAGGGGGTGGGCCCAAGTATGATTTGGAGACCTTGGTCAGGCTATTCCATCTACCTGAGCCTCAGTTTCTTCCCGTGCAAGTTTAGACTTATAAGGATTAGATAGGGTGAAGAAACTGGGCATGATGCAGGCTTGTAATCCTAGCACTCAGGAGTGAGAGGCAGGAGAATTGCTAGTTTCTAGGCCAGCCTGAGCTATATAGTATGACCCTGACTGAACAAACAACAGCAACAGCAAACAAATCCGATGTGGTGGTGCATGCTTTTAGTCCAGGCACTTAAGCCGACGCAGTGAGTTCAGTGAGTTCTTGGCCAGCCTGGTCTACATAGTGAGTTCTGGGCTAGCCAGATCTGTATAGTAAGATCTTGTCTCAAAATAACACTAAACCAAACAAACAGATAGGAGGGTGCTGTTAGGGCCTGGGGTGTCACTAAGTAGCCAGAGAGCCTTCTTAATGTGTCTTAGTTTTGATCTCCAGCACAACAAATCAAAACACAACAAAGCACAGCTCAGCATTGCAGGTACAGGACACACCTCGGTCTCTTTCCTCCCCTTTCTCTCGTCACTTCTCTTTTTCTCAGCTCTGTTTTTCTCAATGTCCGTTTCAGCTCAGAGAAAGTCACATGTTAGATGGTTTGGTTTCTGTGGTGCTAGTGAGGAACCCAGGGCCATGCCCACTCTACCACTGAGTCACACTCCTGCCCAGGTCATGGCCTCTGACCCTGAGGCTTGAGAGGCTCCTCCCAGCAAGCTCTTTGTGGTACTGCGTAAACTCACATCCCTCCCTGGCAGTTGGCTGCAGGTAGAATCTTGGCTGTGAAATTCTGAAAGCTGTGTATGTTTTCTTGTAGTTTAAAAGTGTGTGTGGGAAGAATGAAGTGAAGGCATTAAAAGAGGAAGGGACATCTCAGGCCCTACCTCTGAGACGTTTCTATCTGATGGGTTAGCACCATACTTCCCAAGAAAGCTGGGTTTCCTGTGTGTACCTGCAATCCCAGATACTCAGAGGGGAGTTCAGAAGTGTTAAGATGAGCTTCGGTAATACAAGAAGTCTCCATCTCTGAAAAAAAAAAAAAAAAAAAATCATGCTCTTGGAAGTTCCCTACGCCACGAGGACACTCTGGTGTCCCAAGTGGCTAAATCTAAGCCAGGGCAGCAGAATCTCATAATGTTACTGGTGACTGTTTATGGCTTCTTTCCTGATGCTTGGAAGGAGGTGCCAGCTGTGTTCCAGTCTCCAACCTGGACAGAACAGCAGTCCTTTTTCAGTCCCTTCCAAGCTATGTGTGCCTAGCAAGTTTCTCACTGCTTCTCTGTGCCTTGGCACTCTTAACTATAGAATGGGTATAATTACTGTGAGCCCTTATTGGGGAGTGGTGGCTGTTAGGACGTTGCCCAGAAGACAGTGAGCTCTGAGAATTGTTTCATTATCTTCACAGTTGTTGTCATCCTCCCTGTCATCAACATCATCTTTTGCTCTGTGCCTTACCCTGTATATGCAGGGAATGAGAATCAGATACATGAATCAGCCTGAGTTCCTGCTGGGACTGTTAGGTTCTCTGAGGAGCCGTACCTGAAAAACACACACACACAGACACACACACACACACACACACACACACACACACCCTCCCTCTTCCTGCCCACTAACAAGGGAACACACGGGCTACAGCCAACTTCAAGGAATTCTGGGAAATGTAGTCTTCTGAGTAGTGGTTTCCTGATCATCTAAAATACAGGCTGTTGGTCCCCCCACATAGACCCCTCCCCTGTGCCCCTCCAAAATCTTCTCTTCTAGCTGTTTGGACCTCTAGTGACCTCTCAGAAGCTCAGGAAAGCAGAGCTTTTTGTTGTCCCAAAGGGAACTTGTGGCTTTGTCTTCAGCAGCTTCACTCATAAACATCTGACCGGCCTCCATGGTGGCCCATTAGCTAGTTTGTGTCCCTGGTCTCTGTTCTGAGCTGTGATAGATGGAATTTGAGCTCTGGAGTCCCAGCGAGACCATCATTTCTGTGAGCCAACATTCTCTAGTATAGATGGAGAGCAAAGCTGACCTTACCGGATTATTGTAAAGGTCAAATGAGACCATCTTTCAAAATATTTTATTGTCTGGAAATTAAGATTCACAGGTAAGCCAGGTGGTGTTGGCTCACACCCTTAGTCCCAGAATGCAGGAGGCATTCTGTGAATTCTGTGAATTCGAGGCTAGACTGGTCTACAAAGCAAGACCAGAACAGCTGAAGCTACACAGAGAAACCGGTGAGGGCAGATTCCATGTTACCTGATTGGTCACCCACACAGAGGGAATCATGGAAACAGGGCCTTTGTAACAGGATTGACATAATACAGATATAGGTGGCATTTTTTTAAAAGATTTATTTATTAAGTGTATAGTGTTCTGTCTGCATGTACACACACATGCCAGAATAAGGCTTCGATCTTACTATAGATGGTTGTGAGCCACCATGTGGTTGCTGAGAATTGAACTCAGGACCTCTGGAAGAGCAGCCAGTGCTCTTGACCTCTGAGCCATCTCTCCAGCCCCAAGTGGCATGTTTTTTGAGAGGGAAGTTTTTTGTTTTGTTTTGTTCTGTTTTGTATGTGTCTGGGCGTTTTGCCTGCATTTCTGTGTGTCCTATGCCTGCAAGACTAGAAGAGGGAGTAGGATCCTGTGGAACCAGAGTTATGGACCATTGTGAGCCACTATGAGTAGATGGCTCCTGGGAATGGAACTGAGGTTCTCTGCAAGAGCAGCAAGTGCTCTTGTTGTTGTTGTTACTTTGTTTGTTTGAGAAAGGGTCTCATTATACAGCTCTGGCTAGTCTGCAACTTTCTATGTGGACCAGGCTAGCCACAAACTCAAAGGTCCCCTGGCCTCTGCCTCCCAACTGCTGGGTACCACCATGTCCAACTGTAACAAGTGCTCATAACTCCTGATCCATCTCTCCAACATCTGTATTTTTTTATATTTGCATAAATAAAACTTATTTTTTAAGTAAAAAATAAAGATGTAAGAAGGTTCAGAAGGCTAAAGCCAGAGACCTGCCATTAGTTGGATGCTAGCCTGGACTACATAGCAAACAAACAAACAAAAACGGGCTGGTGAGATGACTCTGGGGGTAAAACACTTGATGCCAAGGCTGGCGACCCGAGTTTGATTCCCAGGAGCCACATAGAGGAAGAGTGAATCAATTCCTGGAAGCTGTTCTGTGACCTCTACCCACTTACACTCACATAAATAATAAACGTTACAAACAAACAAACCTGCGGGGGGTGGGGGGGTGGGGGAGTGGCACACACCTTGACTCAGGAGACAAAGGCAGGTAGATCTCTGTGAGTTGCAGGCCCACCTGGTCTACGCAGCAAGTTCCAGACCGACCAGGTCTACACAGCGAGACCGTGTCTTTAAAAACAAGATAAAACAAAACCCTAATACTAACATCAGATCATACCTTAAAAGGTGTTTTGTTGTTGTTGCTTTTGAGAGTCTTACTCCGGTTCATAGGCTGACCCAAAGTCCTACCCTCAAACAGGTTTCCTACCCTTAGCCTCCCAGGAAGTGACAAACCACGGGCACTTGCCACTATGCTGAGTTCAGAAAAGCGCTGTGTATTCACGGACACACAAGCGGAATGGGAGGTCAGAAGCCTTACCTGTTGACCCTTGCCTGCTGTCTTGTTTGAGACAGGGTACCTGTCTGCTGCTCACTGCTGAGTGTGCTGGCTAGCTGGTCTGCAATCCAGCAACTCTTCTGTCTTCTCCCCACCTCCCTACCTAGGGGTAAACTAGGATTACGGAGGTTCGGATTGCTTTTGTGTGTTTACTTGGGATCTGAGCTCAGGCTAACAGGTTAATGAGGCAAGAGCTTTTCACACTGAGCCATCTCTCTCTAGCCTCTAAAAGACTTTCATTATCATAAGATAATCAATATTCAAATTCCCATAATATTTATTTCTGTTTGTTTGTTTCATTTGCTTGGGACAACATGGCTCTTGTATCTCTGGCCCACTTTTGTTTTCCTGGAGCTGGTGAGGTGGCTTAGTGGGTAAGGGCCTGCTTAGTGGCCAAGCCTGCTGACCTAAGTTTAATCCTTGGGAGCCAAATGATAGAGGAAGGGAATTAAGTCCACAAGTTGTCCTCTGGCCGGCCCCCATACGTGCTGTGCACGTGAAGGCAACACACTAAACAAATGAACAAATAAATATGTTTTAAAAATAAAAATGATACTGGAAATGGTGGCTCACGCTTTTAGTTCTTGCACTCGGGAGGCAGAGGCAGGCAGATCTCTATGAGTTCAAGGCTAGCCTAGTTTACAATAGCAAATTCCAGGCCAGCCAGAACTACATAGAGAGACCCTGCCTAAAACCAAATTCCTTATAACCTCATGTTGGATGCTTCCCTTCCTTTCCTTATTCATTTGTCATGCTCTTTACGTATGAAGAATATTAACTAAAGTGAAGCTCACTGTTCTTCCTCTAGGGAATACGATGGAGGCTTCAGGAGCTTCTGCCCAGTCTCAAGACAACAGTGGAGTCCACAGCGAAATTGAAGCTCTAGACTGTACGTTTGCATCCTGACACCCTGGGCACAGCCTCCCCGGGGAGATTCCAGCATACGTGGGGCTGTCAAAGACCCTCCTAGGCCATGTGGCATTATGGCCACATCAAAGCCACAGCAGAGAAGTGATTTTTCCCTTCACATGCTTGCCCCAGCCTGTTCCCCACACCTCCTAACTAGGCAGGTCCTAAGTTGCTCCCCAAATTTTGAGAAGTTTCTGGGCAGCTTGTGCTGGAAGTGGGGGGAGTCTCTAGAAGGTGGGAAGGCTCTCGTTTAGCTGCCCTTGGAGGAAGGGAAAGTTTAGGGCTTGATTACATGCTGTTCTCTGTGTGACTTAGAGAACCCTGAACTGGATCCTTCTCTGAGTGTGGAGGTCTCCAGGTGGGACAGGCTAGGGGGCTCATAATCCTCTTTTCTGGAGCCTGATGCACAGAAATGTTTGCTTTGGGCTGTCTTTGACTCTCTGACCCCTACCTGGGAGTCTCTGAGAACCTTGATCTTAGACACCTTCCATCAGCCTTGGATTTTCAGGGGAGTAGTCATCCCTCTTGGCTCCATGAATGCTCCCTGGAGAGGCTGTATTGGTGCCAGGGATGGGGCAGGGGGCAGAAAGCACTCATCACCTTGCCTGTGTGCCTCTAGACCAAGAGACAGAGTTCCACCAGCAAGATGGCAAGGCCCGGGAAGGATATGAGAGAGACAAGTCTTCCTCCTCTTCATCCTCCTCTTCCTCTTCCTCCTCCTCATCTTCCTCCTCCTCCTCAGGTATAGCAAACATTCTTAGGACCGGGGTGTGACTTGAAGGTACAGTGTTGCCTCATATGTACACATTTCTAGCACTACACACATACACAATAATAATAATAATAAATTAAAAATAAAAAAGTTTAGTAGCTGGGTAGTGGTGGTGCATGCCTTTAATCCCAGCACTCAGGAAGCAGCCTGGTCTACAGAGCAAGTTCTATGACAGTCGGGGCTACCTAGAGAAACCCTGTCTCAAAAAACCCAAAAAAATAAAAAAATTAAAAAATCAATTTAGAAAACATATAGGGCGGAATTTATAACAACAGTAAAGCTAGACACTCCTCCAATCACTCGACAATTAAGAACTCAACCAATTGTCCCAGGATGTGGAAGAAGGAAGATACAATACTACTCTTAGTCTCGGTTTACAGCTGAAGCTCAGGGAGGGCTCTGTGACCTGCTTTCTTAAGAAGGAAGGCTCAGTAACAAACCTGAGAGTCCTTGAAGGTCTTTCTGGAATGAGGGAGTGTATTCAGGCGGGCTCTCTGCCTGCTCAACCGGAGCTTCCGCACTGTGATCTATTTTACATGGAGGGCCTGAGCTTCCGGTTTTAGTTGCTAAAAGATTCTCAGGCTTGGGCTGAGGGCGTAGCTCTGCTGGTACTTGTTTAGCACAAGCCCGGGTCACATGCCCAGCACGACAAAGCACAAACCTGGTCAGGTGGCACACGTCTATAATCTTACCACCCAGGAATCGGAGGCAGGAGGATCAGAAGCACACAGTCCTTAGCTAGCACAGTCCTTAGCTAGCCTGAGCTTCATGAATGTTAATCCCAGCACTTGGGAGGTAGAGGCAGGAAGATGGACAGGCAGTTACAGACTATCCTAGGTCACATAGGGAAACTTCCCCAAGCAAACAGAAAACAAACCCTTTAAACCCCAAATTTATGTTCTGAGTACATCATAGGCAAGGCTAAAATAATCGTCAATCACTTGTTGAGAGACATTGTTCCTGGTTTATTTTATTTATATTTTATTCTATTCTATTTATATTTTATTTCTATTTTTCATATTGTTTGATATTTTGCAATGAAGATCACTTTTTCTTTCTCACTGATGTATATTTGTAAAACATAGAAAAGAAGGAAATAGTTGGGCATGGTGGCACATGTCTGTAATCCCAGCACGAAGGAGACAGAGGCAGGAGGATTGCCACAAATCTAAGGCCATTCTTGTGTACATAGTGAGTTCCAGACCAGCCAGGACTACATAGTGAGATGTAGGAGTGGGAATAAAGACACTCAAAATCTTATTCATCAAGCTGGTCATGGTGGCAGAGGCAGGTGAATCTTTGTGAGTTTGAGGCCAGCCTGGTCTACAAAGTGAGTCCAGGACAGCCCAGGCTACACAGAAAAATCCTGTCTTAAAAATCAATCAATCGATCAATCAATCAATCTTATTCATCAAGATAGCCACACATCTGGAAATTCTACTCTGTGGCATGGCTTCTTCCACAACACATAATAAATATTTTTAAAATTAAGAAAAATAACACAAGAGGACATATACTGTGTCTATGCAAATACTGCAACGTTGTGTGTAAGGGACTGGTATGGCCGTGGATTTTGGTGTGTGTGGCAAGTCTTAGAACCTTCTCCCCATGTATGCCGAGGGACACTTTACTGCCATACAGCTGTTTCTGTGTCAGGTGAAATTACATGAACACTGACTCGGAAGCACAGCTAACATGACTTCCTGGAACTTTTAATGAATCCGAAATTGATCTGGACATCCCCAAGTACACTGAGGGAACTCATCTGGGGCCATCTTGGTAGTCATGAGAGACAGCCCTGTAGCCAGAAACTCCTGGCTCTGAATTCTTAAACCACTGACTAATGTAAGATGTACACGACTCAGCCAGCCTTTTCGCCCCTTCACGCTCCTACCCCAGGCTAGGCAGCCTGAGGCAATGGACGATGCAGGATGAGACCTTCAGTAGCTCAGGTGGTTGGAGAGACAGACGTCACCCGGCCCTCATGGTGACTGACTCAGGCACAAGACAGTTAGTGCCATAGAAACCCCAAGCAGGGAGAACAAGGCCAATGAGGGCTTGAGCAACAAGAATAGGGTTTCTATAGGAGATGTGACATCAGCTTAGCTTCACAATCAAGAAGACACATGGCAGACACCCAAAGTCATATGATGTCAGGAGGACAGAGAGGATTCAGCATTGTGCTCAGTGAACTCCATAAGATGTCATGTCATGGGACCTGGCTGTCTCCTCAAGTCACATCATGGTCTCCTTCTGCCTCCTGAGATGGCAGTAGATGTAGGGTTCAGCCACAAAACACGAAGAGGACAGCCACACAGAAAGTTAGGAGCCACCGTCCTAACCCACAGCCAGGCAAAGCTTCTTCCTCCACAGACTGAAAACACTGTGGAGGAATTGGAGCGATTGTGGCCCTGGCTCCTTCCAGCTGGGGCCCTACAGCTTGTGTTTGCTCCTCACAGACAGCAGCGATGAGGACCAGCACTCCCGAGGTCCCAGGAAACACCGAAGGAAGCCCCACAGGGACAGCTCTTCTGGTAGGCGACAGGCTTCCCATCTTTCCTTTGCTTCTTACCTCACTGCTGAGCTCCTCAGTGGGGCCTTGTGAGGGGGTTCCTCACAGCGTTGTTCGTGCTAGATGAATGGGAAACAGCCTACTGAACACCCTACAACAGCCGAAACCCGTCAGACGGAAGCAGAAAGCTGGGCTCTGTCTTGGTGGTAGTCACGGTTGTTGCTTTTGTTTGTTTCGAGGCACTGTATAGCCCTGGCTATCCTAGGATTCACTTTGTAGACCAGGCTGGCCTCAGACTCACAGAGATCCCCTACCTCTTCCTCCTGAGTGCTGGGAAGAGCATGTGCCATCATGCCCTGCTTTGTTTGGTCCATATGAGCGCTTACCTATCTCTGATGTGGTAGGTGCAAGTCATAGAACCCAATTGGTCTCATATGTATTTAAAGAAGAAAAAAATCATAAAACAGGAAGACGGGGGCTGGTGAGATGGCTTAACAGGCTAAAGGCACCTGCCACTGAGTTGCATGCCTGGGACCCACACAGGAGAGATTTGAACTTCCAAAAGTTGCTGGCCTCTGACCTCCACATGCGCATAAAAAAACAGGAAAACAAAAAGATAGTAACAGTCATTATGATAGTGACGTTGTGAGCTTTATTTATTTCTTTATTTTTACCACGCTGAGGTGGTAAGCAGGGCTCATTCTTCCACTGCACTACACTGAGTTACAACCCCAACATCCCTCCTTTTGAAAACAGTATCACTTATGTGTATGAGTGTTTTGCCTGCATGTATATATGTCTACCGTGTGCATGTGCAGTGCCCATGAAGGCCAGAGGGGGTGTCTGATCCCCTGGAACTGGAGTCACAGTTTGTTCTGAGCCAACTTGTGGGTGAGGGTCGGGAATCTGTCCTCTACAAGAGCAGCCAGTACCCTTAACCTCTGAGCCATCTCTTGAGTCCTGGGAAATCACTGTTGCCTAAAGAAATAAATAAATTATGTGAAAGGAGCATCAGGGAAAGAATGGGAATTAATGAATGACTGTCTAGAACAGGGACCGGTATACACAAGTACACAAAGTACTTAATAAATGCTGCCTGTGACCCTGGAGGCAAGCCTGGGTTCTGTTTTCAGAGACAACTAGCTGGAGCCTTTGAGGATGTAGCTCAGTGTGTGAAGTCTGTGTTCAGTCTCCAGTACCAAGAGTAATGATGATGATGACGACAAATAAACGGATAAAATAAACAAAACAACTACAAATAAAACAACGACAACAACAAACCAGGAATGCAAGCTTTATGGGAGATCTGTAGAGTCATGCATTACCATGCAAGTTTGGCAGAATCACTTTCCTTTTTTTTTTTTTTTTTTTGCCTCCATCACCCCACATCCCTTTGCTGGCATCAGATCAGTGCCGCAATCGCTCTCCCCCTAAGCTGTTCCCTGAGCTCTACCTGAACCTCTGAGGCCCAGCTGCCTTGCCTGCATGCATTGGTAGGCGGGCATTCTCCATGCTCTTTCTGTGAGAACCAGATGGAAACATTGGGTATAAATTCCCTGCTACACCACTGACGCACCTTAGACCTTAATAAATGGCAACTATTCTCTTTATATAAAAATGTAAAGGCTTATCTATGTGTATGAGTGTTTTGCCTGCCTGTATGTGTGTGTGCCATGCATATGCCTGTGCCCACAGAGGCCAGAAGATGGTGTGAGATCACCTGAAACTGGCAGCTGTTTGCTGCCATGTAGGTGCTGGGAACTGAAGCTGGGTCCTCTGCAAAGAGTAGCCAGTGCTCTTAACCTCTGAGCCCTCTCTCCAGTCCCCGGAAACTATCCTTGAATGAGCCCCACCTCCTGTCAGACCTGAAATTTCGTCTTAGTAACAGAACAGAACAGAACATAGGGATACTGAGTGAGTTGTTTTGCCTTTTGGAGACTTCAGATGTGGGGAAATGGGGGTGGCCCTGGGGACACTGTGGAGAGTTGACCAAGGTTTGTCTCCACCCAGGTGTTGACCACCGGGAAGTGGAGGTGCTGAAGGATGAGCTTCAGCTCTATGGAGGTAAGTGCTTGTCTTCTGGCCTTGGAGAAGAGAATCATGAGGGCTGAGGGCTCGGTGGGCAGAACAAGGGATAGGGTCTCCTGATCTGAAGGCTCCCAGGCACACACAGATGAGGTAGCGAGGCTGCAGCAGTTCAGGGGAGAGTGGGGTCCCCTCTGCCGTGATTGCAATGGATCAAGGACAGTAAGCGTTCTCTGCTGACTGAAACCCCGACTTCCCATGGTCTTCACTGGTCACCCAACAGAACTGGGCCTTAGTTTTACACATCGGGAAAATGGGGTGTAACCCATTCCACTATCTTGGAACCCTGCACTGTTTAAGAATGGCTCAGATCCCCCTCCCCCATTTATGAACTGTTTCCCAGAGCCCTGTATGACAGTGAGGAGGTGTAGGGAAGAAGAAGATGATGTGTAAATAAGGGCACTTTAGGCAGCGGCGCTCCAACGAAGTAGGAGAGTCCACAGGCTGACCTAGTTCATCAAAGAGCCCAGCAGATGCACACTGCCCAGGGAGTCAGGACTCCCAATAGCTACTCACTCCCCAACTCCTGGTAATGACCCAGAGAAACAGCAAGAAACACAGGTACACTCAGAGCAAGAGGACCCATACAGCATGTATTGGAATATGACACCTGTCTGCCTCTGTGCTCCCTGATTCTCCTTCCCTGCAGGTGCTGCTGGGGAAATGGTGCTTGCTGGGGAGTCAGGTGAGTGCCCAGGAAGGGGAGGGAGAGTCAAGGAGACTGGGGTTGGGTGAGGCCTGGGCATTGTCCTGATGGGGTACTCAAAGAGTCATGGCTGTGAGACAGGGAAACTCCAGGGTCACTTAGGGACCTGAATGCGTGCAACGGGTGGGAGAGGAGTCGTGGAGCCATGAAAATGGGGGTCTAGACAAGAAGAAGCAGATATCAGGCAGCTAGGAAAGGTCCCTTGGATCCCATACCTGGAGAATTACCTAGAGCAGCAGTTCTCAAGCTGTGGGTCTTGACTCCTTTGGAGGTCACATATCAGATATCCTTCATATCAGATTCATAGCAGTAGCACAATTACAGTTAGGAAGTAGCAACAAAAATAATTTTATGGCTGGGTCACCGCAACATGAGGAACTGATTTAAAGGGTCACAGCATTAGGAAGGTTGAGGACCACCTTAGAGCCTTTTCTTAGTCATCTCTGGTCTTTCCCAGGGTAAAAAAGCACCTGGCAAGGAGCCTTGTCCAACTCGGTACTAACATTGAGTCTCTCGTTTCCAGGACTCCGAAGGAGAGGTTCCGGCTCAGCAGGGGGTAAATATATAAGATCTGAGGAAAGCAGCAGGCTGTCTAAATTCCAGAGGGGCTAGAGGGGACCACAAATGGCCTGAGAGGGTGGGCCAGTTCTTGGAGGGATGTCAACATCCGCATGATTCCAGAAGAAGTCTCCATCATGGGAGAAGTGGAAGGAAGAACAGGGCCAGGCCTGTAGGGGGATGAGGAAGTCAGGGAGGGTTTACCCTCCCTGCTACCCTTATCGTAAGGGGTGGGGGGGGGGCAACAATGTACAAAACACACCTTTCTGTCTTTCATTCTTAAGGAGAAGTGGAGGCCTCTCAGCTAAGAAGGCTGAACATTAAGAAGGACGGTAAGCAAGTTGGTGTTCAGGAGCCGCGCTCACCTCAATGGTCCAGATTTCTACGGGTGCAAGACAGCTGGTGGCTAGAACGATAGTAACCCTAGCCACCTCTGCCAGGTGTCCCTCAGTGAGCAAAGTCCTCAGCTCTAATCGCTTTGGTAGGGGGACAAACAGTGACATTGATTTTTTTTTACGTAGAAACCGAGGCCCTGGATTGGAGGGGCCTCACTGGCTTGGCACCCAGTCATACACTCTCTTTGCTCTGCGTGAAAACACAGGGAGATAAATGCTTCTCATGCTCTGTGGTGGGACATAGTTGGGCTGTGGGGGTCATGAAGTTCCACGGGAGAAATGATGCAAGTTTCCAGGGCTTCCTATGCTCCACGCCTGGAATCTATGAGGACTTCTGGAAAGACTAGGAAGGTAGAAAACAGAGACCTTGGTCTTTTGTTTGTTTTTTGATTGGTTGGTTGGTTGAGACACACTGCCTCAAACTTGGGGTCCTTTTTCCTCAGCGTGTGTGTCCTTCCATGCCTTTACACTCTCTTTTGTATGCCCCTTGTCTGAGAAAGCTGGAAAATCTTGCTATTGACCCTGGACACATCCCTTTTAAGAAGCACCCTGAGATCCTCTCTCATGCCTGTTAGCCTCAGAACTTTGCACTTGGCACCTTCAAATGCTTTAATGCTCACTCAACAAATTAATTCCTGAGCATCCCTGTGCAGTGGCTTTGGCTGCCGAGTCTCCTTGGGCAGGGAGCTCACTGGGATCCTTCTTCTCTAAGACATAGAGCCTGGGGAGGAGGGGACAGACATCAACCCAAGCCAAGTGGCTGTACACATTCCAGAAATAATGACGAGAGACAGGGGCTGGTAAGGGGGCTTCTGGGTGCTGTTCAACACTGGCTGACCAGGAGCCGAGCACTGTCATTTTAAAACTAGAAGGGGCTGATGTGATGGTTTAGTGGTTGGGTGCACTCCCCCATTGTGAGAGGACTAGAGTTTGGATCACAGCCCCTATATCAGGTCCCCCACAAATGCTGTAACTCAGCTCCAAGGGATCTGATACCCTCTTTAGGTTTCTTGATGTACACATGCAAGTGTAAATGCACACAAACACAAACACAAACACACACCATAGTATAAAAAAATAGAGTAGCTGGCATTGTGGCGTACCCCTTTAACCCTGGCACTGTGCTGGCAGGGGCAGGTGGCTCTCTGTGAGCAACTCTTAGTGAAATCCTGTCTCAAATAAATAAATAAGTCACTGGGCGTAATGGCACACACCTCTGATCCCGGTGCTCTGGAGGCAGAGGCAGGCGGCTCTCTGTGATATCAAGGCCAACTTGGTCTAAACAGCATTTCAAGTCACCCAGTAAAACAAACAACACAACACAACACACATAAAAACAAGAGAAACCAGGTGTGCCAGACACGGTATCAGGGCATATGCCTGTAACCTTTGCACTCTGCAGGCTGAGGTAAAAGAATCCTAAGTTGAAAGTCACCCTGGGCTGCATAGAGACCTTGACTTGAAAAACAAGGCAAAAATAAAAGTGAGGGGGTTATGGTGATGGCTTGAGTTGAGAGGGAGAAGGGGAGAGAGACAGAGAGAGACAGAGAGAGAGAGAGAGAGAGAGAAAGTTTCTACCCTTTCTTGCAGATGAATTTTTCCACTTCGTCCTCCTCTGCTTTGCCATTGGAGCCTTGCTGGTGTGTTATCACTACTATGCAGGTGAGGCCTGCTGGGGACCTGAGAAGGGGCTGCGTGGGATGGCAGGCATCAACCCACACCCTACAGTGGCTGACAGTTCTCTCTTGCTCTCCTTCAGACTGGTTCATGGCCCTTGGGGTTGGCCTGCTCACCTTTGCTTCCCTAGAGACCATCGGCATCTACTTTGGGCTGGGTAAGTGGTCCTGTCAGAGCTACACAGGTCTGCAGGCTTCTGGAGGGGTGGCGGCTGACCTGGCCGTCACACTCGATGAGAGTCACAATCTAAACTGTTTTTAAAAACAAACAAACAAACAAACAAAAAAACATTCCTTGCGGTTGGTGCACGCCTTTAATCCCAGCACTCCTGAGACAGAAGCAGGCGGATCTCTGAGTTCGAGGCCAGCCTGGTCTACAGAGCGAGTTTCAAGACAGCCTAGGCTACACAGTGAAAACATGTCTTGAAAACAACCAGAAAAAAAAAATCCTTATGTTTGTGTTTTCTTCCTGACCGCATGTGAGGTCAGTGAGAGGTCATTGGCAAAACCTTGTGGAAAAAAAGGGGGCAGTTCCACAAAAACAGTTTAAAGTGGCAAACACGCAGAGCTCCTCCGAAAGGAAAACAAGCGAACAGAGCCAAGCGTCGAGGTCGCCGGGTTTCCTGTCCCTGTTATTACTGTCTGTGACTCGGTTTTTTTTTTCATGTAATGACCACAGCACTGTTATTGACATTAGCCTGAAATTGCACGTTAGGGCTTTGTTTGCGTGGGGTGTGCCTTGGTTCTGGGGCAGCAGGGAGTGGGCCTGACCCTGGGGCCACCTCGTCTTGACCGACATCTCCCCTTGCTCCTGAGCAGTGTACAGAATCCACAGTGTACTTCAGGGCTTCATCCCCCTCCTTCAGAAGTTCAGGCTGCCAGGTAAGTGCAGTACATTTCTCCAGCCAAACCCTCTCATGATTGGGGACTTTCTTCTTGGAAAGAGGTCGGGCATCTAGGGAAAGATGCCTCCTGGAGGCAGGAGGCTCGGGTTCAAGTTCTGCCTCTGTTCTGTGACCCCAGACGGCCTTTTTCTGCACGGAGAATGGAACCCAAAACATGCAGCGCATGCTAGGCAAGCCACAATCCAGCTGTCTGTAGTCTCGCTGAGCCTCAGGCTTCTCAGCTGGAAAATTGGTGTAATTCTTACGCCAGACAGCCCATCAAGTGAGGAAGGATGCTGTCAGCCTTGACGAAAAGCAAAGGACTCTGCACACCTCCCTGGCTGTATTAAGTAACTTTGTAGTTGCCTTTGAAATAACCTGGGCTAAAGTAGAGTGTCTACTTCATTCAGATCACCTAAATCTTGTTTTGTGAAGTTAATTGCAAAGGTGTCTCTGGTTTTGTTTTTTTTTTTCCCAGCCTGCTTTACAAAAGTTCCTGCTGAAAGGCCCCTAAAACTGCATTCTCTCTGCTGAGCGTGCTCACTGTGTGTGTGTTTGTGCATGCACGTATGCACACACCTGTGTGTTTTGCTAGGCTGGAACCCAAGAAATTGCTCTACTGCAGAGCCATACCCCCACCTACTGTCTTTGACCCAGCAACTCAAGCAACTTTGTACATCATGGTACTGAGCTTGGAAGCCAGGGATAGCGTGTCTATGTGCTGGGACTGGCAATGCCTCCTCAACTGCGGGCTGTGGGACCCACAGTGCCTACAGGAAGAGCCATTTGAGTCTGTCCCTGTGATGTTTGGGCATTTGAGGTGGCAGTGGGGGCTGGACTCGGCTGCCTACAGAATCCTATGTCATTCTTCTGGCTTTGCCTTCCAGGGTTCAGGAGAACAGACTGACACCACAGCGGGATGGCAGCTGAGCCAGTCCCCACTATGACCACTGTAACCACTGCCATACCTGAGCCCAGAAGACAGAGCCACATGCTGGAAGACACCAGGAGGCCACACAATAAAGAACTCTTTCCTTCCATGTGGTCTGAGTGTTGGCGCCAGTGGGCAGGCTCTCACTCTGCAGATTAGCACTCGGTCTCCAAGGGGAGAAGAAGAGGGACAGCATCTGGGTCAGCAAGAAAGAGCTGGGATGCCATCACTCTTAGGGGCAGCAAGAGGCCTGGGCCCCACAGGCTGACAGCTGTGGGCTCCGGTCTCTCCCGTGTCCTCAGGCCATACTTGTGAGCTCATAGTTCCTGCAGAGCCATCTTGGGACAGACAGTCTACTGCCCTGAGGCAGGGAGCTACCAGCCTGGGTCCCCAGGGGAACCTGTTGCAGATAAGACACTGGGGACCAAAACTGTGGCCCTATCACCCAGTGACCAACCCTGTTACCCTTGAACTACTGAAACCCAAATAAATATTCTGTTCCCTGTGCTAAAAAGAGTCGACTAAATATTCCTTTAGGTTTCTTTCTGTCTCTCTCTGTCACTCTCTCTATCTCTGTATCACTGTCTCTCTTAAGTTTTTTTTTTTTTTAATACAGGCTCTCATATAGCCTCTCTCTCATATAGCCTTTCTCTCATATAGTTTGCTGACCTCAAACTCTCTATGTAGCCAAGGCTAATGTTGAATTCCTGAGCCTCCTGCCTTCGCTTCCTGATTGTTTGGGATCATAGGTGTGTGCCACCATACCCAGTGTAACGTGGTGCAAGGCATTGAGCCCAGGGCCTTGTGCTTGTCAGGTAAGCATGCTGCCAGCTGAGCTATAGCCCTCTCACTCCTTTAGGCCTTGTGAGCATGAGAACACATTTGAGGACTCCTTTGAATCCGTCTAGATGGGGTGAGCACTTATCCAATTGCATAGAGTAGAAGCAATAATGTGCATAGAATGTAAACAAGAATGTTCATATTGCAGCTCGAATAAAATTCAGGACTTCATTTGCACAAGTGAGGATGGGAGGAAGAGAAAGCAGTTGCAAATATTCTTGTGGAAAAAAATGTGTGTGTGTGTGTGTGTGTGTGTGTGTGTGTCTGTGTGTGTCTGTGTGTTTTAGAGGCCTGGTTTATTTAAAGTGCTTGCCTCCTCGAGCCACAAAGCTCTGGATTTATCCCTAGCACCACACAAACTGTGCATGGTTTTGCATGCTGGTAATCCTAGCACTGGGGAGGTGAAAGACAGGAAGATCAGGAGTTTAAAGCCAGCCTCAGCTACATAGGAAGTTCAAGAACAGTCTGAAGGAATGAGGTCCTGTGTCAAAAAAGAACAGAGGTGGGGGATTTAGTATTTTCAGCTCAACAAATAATCAAAGGAGAGTGTAGCCCTTCCTGGCCAGAAACTTACTATGTAGACCAGGCTGGCCTGAAACTCTCAGAGCTCCACCTGCCTCTCTGTCTTGAGAGCTGGGACTAAAGGTGTGTGCCACCATGCCTGGCTCAGAGAACAACTCTTGGGAGTCAGTCCTCTCCTTCCACTGTGTGGGATGGAGGGGGAGCAAACGCAGGTATGCAAGCCTGGCCCTCGTGCCTTTGCCGGCAGAGCTATCCTGATTCAGCTCCCACACTTGATATCAAGGCAACGATGGCAAACTAGAGAACATACAAAGAGACCATGCATGTCATCATACACCTACAGTCCTGGTGTTCAGGAGGCAAAGGCAGGAGAGTCGCTGCAAGCTGGGGGTTAGCCTGGTCTACATAGCACGTTCCAAACTAGAAATGGCTACTTAATGTGGTGGGGTTTTTTTTGTTTGTTTTTGTTTTTTTTTTTTTTTTAGGAGAAAACAAAACATGCTGAAAGCTATTGCTTTGTATTCAAAGTTGAAAAATTAGTTTAAAATGACACAGAAGGTGAGACCAGAGTAAGACTATAAAAATGATGGAGGGGCTGAAGAGACAGCTCAGCAGTTCAGAGAACTGGCTGCTTTGGCAGAGGACTGAATATGGTTCCTGTGGTGGTGATTTGAATGACAAAGGCCCCCATTAGCCCATATGTTTAAATATTTTGCAGCCAGTTGGTGGACTGGCTGGTAAGCATAAGGAAGGGTGGCCTCGTTGGAAGAGATGTGTCACTGAGGGACAGGCCTGCGGTCTCAAAAGACTGGCACCATTCCCACTGTGCCTCTTCTCGGCCTCCTACTTGGGGGTGAGCTCTCAGCTGTTCCGGCCACTGTGCCTTTGTTCTGCCATTATGTACTCTAACGCTCTGAAAGTATAAGCTCACATTAAGTGGTTTTGTCATGGTGTCACAGCGATAGAAAAGTAGCTAAGGCAGTTCCCATCATGGTTCTGCCTTAGAGAGAGGAAAAGAGAGAGTGGGGGAGACAGAGAGGGAAGGAGAGGGGAGAGGAGAGAGAGTTTGAATCCATGCACTTTGCTCAGTTGTGGAGGTTGTTACTACATATGGACATAAGAGGGGCTGCTAACCAATGGCACCCTAAGGAAACCAGGTTTCCTGGCAACAGAGAAAAAACACTGAGCAGGAAGTTTCTGAGACTTCTGATGGGCTTTGCTCTGCACCTGCTTGGGGCAGCGCTCACTCCTCGCACCTGGAGCCTTCTGTGGAGTCCTGAGCATCCTTGATCTTTTGTGGGAAAGTGGGGTCCTCCTGGACATGAGGACAGACCTGCAGGGCTAGGGTGGTGAGCCTCTGTTCTGCTTTCTTCCCCGGTCTTTTCTGTAAAACTCCAACCCTCCTTGGTGTTTCCCTCAAAAGCGGAGGGAATTAAGGCTTGGAAAGGAGAAAGTTTGGCTGGAGGAAGCTGAGACTTCAGGGTGTAAAAACAAAGATTTGGGATGCAATGAACGTTCTCAGGTTTGCTATTTTAACAGGTAAGTTTAGGTAAGTATTAGGTAAATCCTAGGGAGTAATAATAACAAACGGAGGCAGACTCCACTGTGAAGGGGCTGGGGCTCCATGGATGAGTGTTCTGGCACTGCAGTTTGGGTGTTGCTATGGTTTGGATCTTGGCTGGCCCTGTGGCACTATCAGGAGGTTCTGGGACCTTTAAGCAGTGAGGCCTACTTGGATAGACATTAGATCATTGGGTGCATATCCTTGAAGAGACTAGATGGACCAGTTTTCCTGTAGCAGACTTTTCCTGGGAAGATACAACATACACACACACACACACACTCCTACTCTCTCAGAAAGGGAACCCCACAACAGACCCAAGAAACACCCACACCAAGGTGCAACTTGGAAAACTAATGAGTTTTTATTGCGCTTACTAACAGGAGTGTGGGTGAGGGGTCACTTGCTGGACCAGGTGTGGTTCAAAAGCAGCTGCATCACCAGAAACACCCAACAGAGTGACAGCTCACAGAAGTGGCAGCCCTGGAGCTCTCTGCACAGCGCGCAGGCAGCTGACAGATCCAAGATATCTCCTCTCTGCAGCTGGGCTGCTCAGGCTCTCCTCCAGCAGCAGCTGTTTACTCCTCCTGGAAAGCTGGGGAAGGGCCTTCCAGAATCTTGCAGGTTTCCGCTTTTCCCAGAATGTGACCTCTTGTTCACCTCCGTGACCTCCTGAAGCTCCCCCATCCTGGGGGGAAAGTTTGCATTCTGAGGAATCTGCTACCCAGCACCCAGCCCTTTTCTGCCTCTCTTTAGCACCACGGGCTCTGCTCACTGCTCACAGACTGGCCGCCTCCTTTGTCTGGCTCCAGCTTCCATGTTTGTCCTCACCACAAACCCAAATGTCTGAACCCATGAGCCAGAAGGAAGCTCTCCTCTTTTTAATTTGATTCTCTGTAGAATTTGTCAAAGTAGCAGAAATCTGGCTAACGAACGGAGACAGAAATTGAGACTCTGGGCTGGAGGGACGGCTCACGCTTGAGTCTGATTGCTGTCCTTGCACAGGATTGCTATTGGAGTCCCAGCACACACACCTTTCACAGCCGCCCATTACTCCAGCTCTAGGGACCCGATGCCCTTCTTTGGCTCTGAGGCACATGGACGTCCTGCATGCTCCCTCTCCACCCTCACACATGGTGATGTGCATGTAATTAAAAACAAAATAAATATTTGGGTTTTTTTTTGTTTGTTTGTTTTTCTTTCTCTCTCTCTCTCTTTTTTTTTTTTTTTTTTTTTTACGGAGGCAGGGTTTCTCTGTGTGGCCTTGGTTGTTCTGGACTCAATTTGTAGACCAGGCTGGCCTCGAACTCACATAGATCCACGTGCCTCTGCCTCTGGAGTGCTGGGGTTACAGGCCACACCTGGCTTCAACAAAATAAACCTTTGAAAAAGAAAGAAAGAAACACACACACACACACACACACAAACAAACAAACAAACAAAACCTGAGACCCACAGAGACTAAAACAGGACAACATCCAGAGATTTCTTCCCAAGTTCAATTTCCAAAAGAAGACATATTTGAGAACATATTTTAATTTATTTTATGTTTTGAGACAGGGTCTCACTTTGTAGCTCAGACTGACCTGGATCACACTGTGCAGTGTGGGCTGGCCTTGAATTCACAGGGACCAGCCTGCTGCTGTCTCCTGTGTGCTGGAATTAAAGGGGTGCCACCATGCCAGACCCATCGCTATTAGAGCTTCTTTTTTAGAAGGATGAAGCTGTTTATTGCTTCTAATAACCAGATAAACTAAAGTGAAAACATCAGGGAGGTAATATTTTCTCCCGACAAATGAAGAAAACAACCTGAAAACAACCAGGGCATGTTGCTCTAGGGAGGCAACTGTGAGAGTAACAGTCTGGCCACATTTAGCAAGAGCCATAAATGTCCATCCCAGACAGTGCGGTGATGTGCGCCTATAATCCCAGCACTTGGTAGGTGAAGACAAGAGGGTCAGGAGTTCAAGGATACCCTAAGCATCAAATCAAGTTTGAAGGCAGCTGCATTTCAGGAGAGCCTGTCTCCAAACATCCTTCCCCTCCGATCCAGCAACTGTGCTTCTGGGAACCTGGACTTCAGACGTAATTTGAAATTTGGCAGTGGTAGTTCAGTGGGCAAAGGGCTTGGGTTCAATTTCCAGCACCATGTGGCTGCTCACAGCCCTCCATGACGCTACAGTTCTAGGGAATCTGACATCCTCTTCTGACCTCCATGGGCATCAAGCATGTCCATGGCGCAGGTAAAACATTCATACACGTAAAAAAAAAATATTTTAAAATTAAAAAAAGAATCAGCTTTCTAGCTGGTTGTGGTGGGACAAGCACATAGGATATGCTAAAGGGGCAGAGGCAGGAGTCTGGGCTGCACCTTCCCAAGCCAGACAAAGCAGCCTTTAATGCCAGCACTCGGGAGGCAGGGGCAGGCGAGTCTGTGAGTTCAAGGGTAGCAAGTTCCAGGTTAGCCAGCGCTACAGGGTATGGCTCTGTTTCAAACACCAGCCCAAGGACTAATACAAAGAAATAAAAACATCAGCTAACTTTGCTGAGAAAAGAC